TTTTATTGATGTGGGTAGTGTCTTTTAAGTAGTTCAGCTGATGAAATTGACAAAATAATATAAAAGGAGAAGAAGACGTCTCCATACATACTTGAGCCCAAGTTTTTTTTATATGATAGGGTGACCAACGAGCACACAGTCCACCTGATGGTAAGTGGTTACTGTGACCCATACACATCTACATCTATCCTCAATAAAGACTCAAGATGCAGATGCGTTGTCACCCGTGAGGACTAAGATGGAATGCCTCTTTGCCAGTAAAAAGGATCTCCAGTTCTCTACACTCACCATACGAAACACAGTAGCATTAAGCTGCTATTTTACGCTGGTTAACAAGATGAAAGTACCATTTGAAAGCGTATATATAAACAATTAATAGCTGAAAAGATTTGTCAATCTAGAAGCTGAGTTATTGTAGAATAAGTAAAATAGAGTTTATCAATTACCTACACTGGAACAGGTGATTTTTCACTGTTATTACATTGTAACAGGTTATTTTTCACTATAAGTACTTAAAGATATAAAAACAGGATCAGTATAAAATCACCAAAAAATCGGTGGTCAGTAATGAAATGAAATAGTGAAACGATTAACGAAAGATAAAAACACGACTCTTCGTGACGGGTGTTGACTCATCAGTGAGTATCCAACCATACACCGTACCGGGTATGATGTACCGCAAGGCCTCTCTAGTACATTAGTACATAATATCGCAATGGTACACAGTGAGAATTTAATAAATAAATTAAAATGATACAAGTTGTTATGAGTATTAGTTATGAGTTAGATTTACAACAATTTAAACATTTTTATAAATAAATATCGTTGAAAGTACTGGAATAATTTCATTTCTTATAATAATACTAGCCTGTATTAGCCTACTGTAGCGCAAAGTAATCTTCACATACAGGGAGTAAAGAGCATTAATCACAACACTTGCTTAGTGCATGTTCGTGATTTCAGATTAAAATGTTCAGTACATATTCCTCACTATGCTTTCTTTCACCGAGTCAGTAATGTCTCAAGTTGTTGAGCATAAATCTTTTTGAAGAATATTGGTACATAACATACCAGCGTATTTATAATATGAATGTATGAATATAAATTTATAAAATGATTTATCGTGAAACGGCTTATAAGTTCAGTGTTTTCCTGAATATTTTAGATTTGAAGTGTATTTTTGTAAAAGAAACGAATTTAAAAACATAGAGGCGCTCCCTTATTGAATTTGGCGTTTCTTGATGTGTCTTCAACGCTGATCGACCAATCATATGCTATTATTATAGCTTCTAATGGACCGAGTGACGTCATCCAAGATGCCACCAAGGCGGCAACCAAAGTGACTGCTGTTTGAATTGATTCTTAGTTATTGGAAATTAATATTTTATTTCATGTCACTAAAGAGGCATAAAAAGTTAAAGTGATTTTTTTCGTGTGATGGAAGTCATGATAAATAGATTTATACAATTAAACAATCATGTTATTCCCTATTATTATATTTTAAAGCATTTCAAACTTAGTAACCTTCAACAACATTATCGATACTTTGGTATCGAAAGGGTAACATTCCTAAAACGATCTTATATTTTAAGTGTCACCTACTGGGGAATAGCTAAAATGTTGTCTTAATAAATGATAGCGTAGTTTTGCTATTTTTAGCTAGAGGGCGTCACACACACACGAGCTTAAAGTTTTATTTTTTATAATATAGGGTGACAAACGAGCACACAGTCCACCTGATGGTAAGTGGTTGTTGTGGCCCATAGACATCTACATTTATCCTCGTTTGCGAATCAAAATGCAGATGCGTTGCCACCCGTGAGGACTAAGATAGAATGCCTCGCTTCCAGTAAAAAGGGTCTCCGGTTCTCTACACTCACCATACGAAACACAGCAGTGTTAAGCTGCTATTTGACGCAGGTATTCTGTGAGAGCGTGGTACTTCCCCGGTCGAGTCGGCCCATTCGTGCTACAACTATACTACTCATATAGCTGCAACATGGCTCTACGACTTACAAAATTTTTATTTGTATATAAATTTTCCCAATGCCCGCTCTATAGTAATTATATATTTTAAATCTCTTTGTATTGAAGGTTATACTGACTTTTGCAAATAAACTTCCCTTCATACTTCATTCAGGCATAGGACTGAGTGCATTTTGTTTAGATATAATTGTTATAATTATTGATTTTATAATTAGCATGGAAATTTATAAAATAAAGTTATGCAGGCGTATTTAGAAGTTTGTTTAATTGTATACCGGGTGTTAGTGAAACGCTCCCGAAAACGAAGACAGACGATAATAATAACGATAACTTTGATGATGGGTAAGAAAGAAAATCGATCCCGAGGAAAAAAATAATCTTTTCACAACTTTTTATTACCTTTATTCACGCTCCATGTTAGTACAGATAAATGAAACGATAATTTCATTAAAAAAAATCTACAAAATACTTAAACATAAAACCAGCAGTGACAGTTAAAATAAAATTAGCTGAAATTAGGGTCAATATTCTCGCGGAAGCCGAACTCTTATCTAGCTCGGTGAGAAATAATGCCTACTTTCTCTACCCTTCCCTTTCATACACGTGCTACCGCCGCCCGGCAGACTCGTGTTGCCTCGCGCTGTGGAATTTACACATGTGAACTTTGCCAACATGTGGGTAATTCCCACAATTGCGGGGAATTTTAAGATAGTTGGGGATTTTATGGGAATTGATATTATGCGGGGAAAATACGGGGATTTTGAAAATCGATGACCAGGGCCAAGTCAGAACCTTTTTTCAAGAAGTCTAAATACTTAACATTTTGTTAGCTTACATATGAATATCGAATGAATCCCTTTTTTAAATTATCTTCATTGCACCACATTTAATTTTCGGATTTATTGCGGCAACTTTTGTGTATCATTTAATGCTTTCCATTTCTTAAATTTTTATTTTTAAAGAAAAAAAATTTTTAGTTAAAAAGTAAATCTTCTAAAATTATTTGAAATTTGTTTCATTCCTTAAAATATAATTGTAGGGAATTTGTCAGGAATCTGTTGAAGTTTTGTCTTTAAATTGCAGAATTTGACAGAAATTTTCGGGGAATTCGACAAATTGGTGTTGGCAACGCTGCCATGTTGCACCGAAATTTACCTACTAAGATTTGTTTGCCAGCGACATAAGAATTAGAGGCGCAATCACTATAAAACTTGGAAGTAATTTTTAATAATTTTGATGTACCTCTTTTTAAATTCAAAGTATTGGCCGGATTAAATACGGAAAGTCAAGTAAAATAAAGTAAAATAATTATTTTTCACATTAATTCTGATAGATTAATTAACTGTCGATCATAATTGCAATTGATTTTAACTATTAAATTATTCAGTACCATTTCATTTATATTTTCTTATACAAAATAAAAGAAAACGATGAAATAGTGTTTATAATTGTGTAAGTGAGTAGATACTGAGTCTAGGAACATTATAATATTAGTAGATATTTTTTGTCTAATATAGCAGCAGACTGCTGTCGTATTTTCATAGCTAATTGAATGGCATATTTATTAGAATCTATCTAGCCGTTTGACTGCACAAGGAAATAAAGAATGTATAGTAAAATTATTTTGTCCTTGTATTTGGGGTCATAAAACATAGCTCGGCCTCAGCCCGGCTAGGGCGCTGAACATGTTGCGCGGGTGCAACGCCATTATCGATAACAAAAAATGAATCATCGAAGGCAGGTGAAAGGCAGATACGGCGGCGGTGCGGTATACAAAGGATGGTGCGACATTGTTATGTTATGAGTCATTTGTTTTCCATTATTACCCCCGCCGCAATTATGATACTATTTGCAGGTATTACTGCAAATAGTATCATCATTTTATCGCGACGGTGAATATTCTTCCACGGCTAAAATTTTGAGTATTCCAGTGTTCTATTTCTTCTATGCGTAAAATACTCATAGAACTTGGTTACAAGTACACCCAAGCTCCAGATGGTCGTAAACAATTGATGGAAAGGACTGACATCGTTTGTGCGCGGCAACGATTCCTGAGAAAACTCAAGACCCTGAGAGATAGTGAAGACACTCGACCAAGAATTTATTTTGATGAGACTTGGGTGAACCAAAATTACAGCCGCAAACAAATTTGGCTAGACAAGGCGGCTTAGACACAAAAATGGGAAAGGGGGGCAGACTAATTAGTAAATATTCTTTCATTTTTTATGTAAGAATTACGACTCAATAATAATTTAATACAAAATATGATATTCATTTAATTATGTTGTTTACTTAATTATTATGCTGTGTGTTGTGTATGTTGTAGAAATGAAGTTGCCACCAAAACAGCACTTTTAAAATGTCGAATGTCGCAGATGTCGAAATGTTACTGGAAACTGGAACGATTGTGTGAAGCATGCAGAAAAACTCCAAGAGGAAGGCTTGAAGACGACGACGATGACTCTGATGATTCTGATGTAGAATTTTAATGTAAACAGTTTTAGATTTAATTTTGGATATAAGTTATTATCTTTATATTTATATTTATTTTTAATATAACTTCTTACATTCCAAACATTTGTACTTATAGGTTTTTTTAATACATAGATACCTAATTAATAATTTATTTTAAATCGTTATTATTATTATTTTAATAAATACATTGTTTTAGCTATTTTTTTTAATTATTATCAATAACCCACATAATGACAAAACTAAATACACTATCGATAACCCTTATCGACAACAATAGTGCACATCACTATGCTCCCTCCTAAGGCCCGTGAGTGGGAGAGAGAGCGAAATACTCCGAAGATTTATGACCCAAACTTCACGGACAAAATAATTCTAGTATAGTAATTATAACTCCAGTCAACTTCCTAATAGCAGATTGGCACCGGGAGATGACCTTGGGAAATTACAATAAACCGAATAAAAATACTTAAGACTTGGCCTAAAGGTCTAGATACCAGGCCATAAACTCCAAAAAAAAAATTACAAATGGCAGATCCCTTGCACTTGCGGTTGTGTTCTTTCTTGTTTATTTGTGTTGCAAATTAAGTTTATATTTCGATATAAACTTATTTCTTACATTATTAACGTTGAGTTGAACATCCCGTTCCTCCGTTTTAGTGTTTACAGTGAGAAAGAGACTCAAAAACGTGCTGTGCATTGTGCTAAAGAGACAGAGACTCAATTTTATCTTTCATCATGAAAGAAAACGAAAGGAAATGTTACAAGTGCTCATGATCGTAACATCACTTTGTTTTCCTAAGCCTGGGAGAACAAATAGCTTACGTTACGTATGCTAAATAGCTTTTTGATTACTGATTAAAACAGTTTTAAAATGTTTAAATTAGAACCATTGAATTAATAAAGTAACAGAAATAAAAATTATTATGGGCCGCATCGGCTAACGATATAAAAACGTGTGCAAATAAATCTGAAAATTAAAGAGAAATTATGCAGAACAGCATGAGATGTATCACATAGAAATAATAATATAATAAAGTAGTTATAGATGTATTGGTACACATAGAAATAACTTATGGAATAATATTTATATATGTATACAATACAATCACATTGTTTGAAAGAAACAACGTCTTGTATTGCACTCTTCTTCCAAGCATGTTTTTAGCACCACAGTAGTATATTATTATCTAATTGTATTTTTTCAGATGTTAATTATGGGCGAAGTACTGTTTTCCTTATGACTCTTGGTGGTCACCAGAATTTAAAAACAATCTTCATTCTAGGCGTTCAATGTTGTGCACTAAACATTTTAAGAAATCATCATTCATTGATAATTTTGGAAAGAGGCTATTCAAATCTGCAGTACCTGATGAGGAATGTGATAAGGTTAGTTAATCTCTCTTTTGTTACTATTTACATTTTTTTCTTTTGTGTGGCTTTTCTCATACTACAGTGAAAATATTATCTAGTTAACAAACGGTGGTAACAGATTGAGTGGTGATTTATAAGGGTATGCGAAATAACCTACCATTACTTCTCAACCATAAAAAAACAAAAGATATAAACTTTAAAAAAAATATGTTGTCTTTTATTTTAAAAAAAAAACCTTATCCATACTAGGATTTTCTCCTGTATTGTGGAGGTAGTTTACAAACATAAATTGGATAAGGACAAACATCCCCCGGCACAATTATTTATAGGGCATACAAATACTTATTCTGTGCAGCATTCGAACCTGTGACCTTTAGTGCCGCAACTCAATGCTAGCCACTGCACCGCAAGCTGTCAATGTTGTTTAAATGACATGATTATAATTTAGTTACTTACAGAATATATTTACAAATAAAAGAAATTGTTAATATAGTGTCTTAAAAATATGTGGTGTATTGTATATATGTGGTAATGGGTCAAAGCAACATTCATTAATAAAAACAAGTTGTATTTAATGTTTATAAATTTATAAGGCTGTTTGAAATTTAGAGATTGGTTGACCAATGCTGGGATACATGATATAAATAATGATTTGATAATCTCTAATTTTCAGATCACATTAGCTGACCTTAATTTGGAACAAAGGAATATCATTCAACATATTGCAGGTCCATCAACTAATAAACAACCACTGAATGAAACTAACTTTACGGATTTTATCGCGTATATTAACTTATTTTACATTCCCGACGTTTCAAGCACTTTACAGCACCCATGGTCACGGGGGGGGGGACTGAGGTGTATGACGTCCCAATGTCATAGTTAACCACGGCTACCTCCAGATTAAAAATTATTAATTTTTGTTCCGATTTTTAATCTGGAGGTAGCCGTGGTTAACTATGACATTGGGACGTCATACACCTCAGTCCCCCCCCCCCCCCCCCCCCCGTGACCATGGGTGCTGTAAAGTGCTTGAAACGTCGGGAATGTAAAATAAGTTAATATACGCGATAAAATCCGTAAAGTTAGTTTCATTCAAATGTGTAGTGTTCGCGTAAATATAAGAAATCACTAAACAACCACTGTCTGAAAATATTCAAAAGACTATAACTGTTCCAAATGTATTTGAGCCTGTTGCGGGCCCGTCAAAATTTATACAACCCTTGTGTGAGAATGTGAATTATAAGACCATTCCTGACAAAACTAGTGCTATTCCTCAAGTAACTGAGAATATCAACCCTGTTGCTGCTGCAAATCCATCCGCGAAAAACAAAAAGGATAAAGATATGTTGATAAAAATGAAATATCATCTGAGAAAAATTAACAGGCTTCAAAAAAACTGTAAAGCATCTAAAGAATGAAGCATTTCTCAAAGTATTGAGCAAAAATGATTCAGTAAATGAAATATTAAAATGTAAAATATCCCCCTCTTTTGCATTATTTTTGCAAGGAGAATTGCAAAACTATAAAAAAATAATCAAAAGGTCGAAGATGGAACATAATATTTAAACATATGTCCACCCATTAAAATAATTATTAACTTAAAAAGGAACTAGGCTCTCCCAAGTACAAATTATTGTTTATTGTGTGATATGTGATATTTTTTTTGAGTTGTCTTGTAACATACTTTAAATCATATTTTTTTAATCCTAGTAGTAAGATCTTAAATTATGTGTTGTTTACAGGGGAACTCTCTTCAGAGGCTGTCACTACAGCTAATGTTATTGCAAATATGGACAAGCTGTTTGATTGTGTCAACGCATGCACACCAGACCTAAGAAGGGGGAAACCATTTTCGACAAACATGACAAATAATACACCACATCTCACACATTTCACTTTAATGAAGAAATTTTTTAAAGAAATGACGTTTTTGGGATGCAAACGAGCTCCTCCATCCCAAGAAGGTTGGATATGGTCCATCAATAAAATAGAACGAATCTGCAGTCAATAACAATAATATAACGAAAATAATTTCTACAAATGTAATATTATTGGTGGCATCTATAATATAATCAGGTTATTGGAGTTTAGACATAATATTGCAAAGCTATTGCCTTGTTTGTAGAATGTGAAGGTAAATAATGTTTTCTTGTTAGAAAAAAATGTTTATATTAGATTGTCTAATCTTTTTTATATAAAACCAATGTACCTTTACTTTCAATTTTGCTTAAATGTCATGTTACATATGCCGTTTACTTAATAGGTGAAGTGATGAAGTAATTAGCTATAAACTAATACTCGTTGACACGTGTTTTAGCGAAGTTACGAGAATGCTTATTTCTTATACTTCGCTAAAACACGCCTACCTCTTAAAAATAGACTATTCTGCTTTACATAACTACTTAACTATTAAATCGATATTTAGTGAAGAGATGTTGAGAACTGTTTACATGCATAAAGTTAAAAATTTGTTAATTACTCCGTTACTTACGTCCATCAATGTACCAACGGTTTTTCTATGTACCAATGTAGACAAGTATGTAATGTAAATAAAAATTATGTATTTCAAAAACCACATTTACTTGAAAAATAGTTCCTTTTTTATATTAAAATGATTGCTAATCGTTTCAAAAGTGGTTTATGAATGTAAAGTACCATAATTTACAAATAACTTTGTGCTTTTGTTTTCGTTTTAATTTAGCAATATATATCATTGAAACGAAAAACTACAAGCTATATCTATCTATATGGTATTTTACATTCTTAAGCCATTTTTGAAACGAAACAACCAAGACGCCAACTAAAAAAAAAATCACGTATCAAAATTCCCGCGCAAAAAAGTTTTAGGGGGCACGACAGAGATGGCGTGCATTACGGGTGCCATTTTCTTTGTTTGAAGTTGACATTCTTCCCGTCTAAGGGTATTAGTGTTCTGTGTTATAACTTTACCTCTTTTGCCGGCTATGCTGCACGTAAAATACGAAACCTCCATTCACCACAAAAAAAATGCTTGGTCTTCTTAAAGAAGCATGTGCACACATCACAAAGTATGATTGGATCAATGTAGTAGAAAAGATAAAGAAAATTATAACGGAAGACTTTAGAAGCGACGTACACTTTGACAATTTAATTGAAAATGAATTTATTATAAGGTTAACCGATGAAGATAGTTCAACTGATGTTAATTTTTCTGGATCATCCAGTGACGAAAGTGAATAAAATGTTACGAATTCAGTGAATTTATTTATTTACCTGACCCAACCACACTTATTTATTGTTAATTTTATTCTTGACTAGCGACCCGCCTCGGCTTCGTACTGGTGCATGTCAGTGGCGTGCCTACATAATATACAATGTATTATTATACGTAAACCTTCCGGAATAAATCAGTATGTCGGGTTTTAGTTTATGTCTTGGCTTTGAAACTGGCTCAAATTTAAACTTAGTTCGGATTTATGTAATAACTGTTAAATATTATAAACTCTTACACGTATTAAGGGGCTACTCCATGCGAACGACCTTGAGCATTTGAGTTTGACCGGCGCGCCGCTCGCTACAATATATTATTGCGTAAGAAATATGTAAGACGCTACCTATTGTACGAACGTAGTATTATTTTTTCAACATCAATAAACTATTTTATGGAAATACACACAGCGTACAAAGACAAATGTATTTTAATTTTTTTATTCGGTATATATTAGTTGCATTATATTAGAATTATGTATTTTCATATATTATCTAATTATGAAATTTTATAATTAATTATATATTAAAAATGAAGCATTGAAAATTGTGAGTTTAAAAGATACCTATTCACTATAGGTAAATAAATAGATAGCTCGGCTTTTGTACAAATATTTGGTGCAATAAAAAATAAATAAATAAATAGGATGTTTCGCAGATGTGTTTTTGATTATTGTTAATTTTTACGTGTCACGTATTGAAAAGTAACATACCTAACTACCTACTAATTTTTGAACTGAGCACCTTGTAACTTAGCCTGCTTATTACTTATGCTGGCAAACATTATCCTCACCCCAATGATTGATGAGGATGAAAATCAATTTTAGTTCTAAATACGTAATTATATTTATTTATACATAAGGGTAACTTTAATAAAGGTAATACAAAAATCAACAAGAAGTATAAGGGTTCGATCTTTCAATTTCAATTGTAAAAACACGTTACCTCCACACTAGAATTTTCTCCTGAGTCGTGGAGGTAGTTTACAAACATAAATTGCACAAGGACAAACATCCAGACCCGGTACAATTATTTGTAGGCCATACAAATACTTGTTCCGTGCGGGATTCGAACCCGCGGCCCCCAGCGCAACAACTGATTGCTAAGTCACTGTGCCACGGAGCCGTCGCCGGGTTATAGCTAAAGTGACCATACGTCCCGTTTTGAACGTGACTGTCCCTTTTCTCGGTCACCTGTCCTACTGTCCCCAAACAAAGCTCCGGGACACAAAATTGTCCCGTAACTCGTTGGATGGAGGTATTCAAAGTTAACAATCTTCAACATAATTCTTTTTAATCGAATATATTTTATGTCTACCTAGTACAAATGCTCCAGTAGAAAGAGTATTTTTCTATTTTGAATAAATTGTGGACATCTGAAAAAAACACTTACTGTTTCAGTTCTAAAGGCGATGTTGTTAACAAAGGTAACAATAAAAAAACTTGAGCAGAATTTTATTCTTATTTAAAATTATCACCAACTTTATTAAAGCTAATTTAATCCACTGATAAATGTAATTAATAATTAAAAAAAATATGTTGCATTTAATAATTAGGTACCGTCTATACCGAATATAATTTTATATTGAACACTAATTGTATAAAGTTATAGTTTTTAGAGTATAAATAAACCCATGTCCTGTTTTGAGTTAAAAAATAAATGGTCAGTTTAGTTTTTTTTTTGTTAAATTTAGTTGTAAATTTTTTTTAGTTTATAGTAAAAAGTAGGTATATTAATACCTACTTAGATACTTTTTACCGAATTAGGATGGAAGCCCCTAATACCAGTCATGCCCCTAATTCCAGTCTTTTCGCCTTTTTACTCCATAAATAAGATTTCTAGTAGTCTTAACTACAAATATTGTCATCTAAAAAATTCTTTGTACCTAGAGGAAAGTATATTTATTCAAATATTACCTCGCAGTTTTAAACCTAACAGTGTTAAAATCAAAACAGGTACGCAAGGAAAAACGATCATTTTCCTAATTATTTGACAAGTTATGATCCCGGTAAAATTATGCTTACTTTACATTATCTCATATATAGGCTTTTTGATTTGTATGAAGATAACTATAGACATAGTAATGCAGTTATTTTTGTTTGAATTTACAAGTTATTTATTTTCTTTTAGTGGAAATTAATGGGGCTGTAATTAGATAATATAAGAAATGTATGGAGTGCATAATGTCAGCCTGTTATTTGTTTTGACGTACCTAATAAGAATTACCTAATTTTGAGCCACGTAATATAAATCAGGGCTGCCATAAACTGGAATAAATACCATTAATTAGATCATAACTTATTTTATAGCTAAGGGAGTTATGATCAATTCATCTGTTTTAAAATTGGTTTTAGATTTTAAAGTTTAGCAAAAGATGTACTAGCTTTTCTCTCTGACATTCGGCGTATAGAACACCTTATGTACTCAATTATTTTTTGAAAAAGAAGAAAAAAAACAAGCAATAGATAATATACTATATTTTAGCAAAAAACTATAACTTAGTAATACTAATTATAACTTAGAACATAAATGAAAAACTCATAACTGACTTTTTGGCCCGTCTCGGGATTCGAACCCGAGACCTCATGATCAGCAGTCGCACTACTACAACCACTAGACCAACGAGGCGGTACTATACCTAATAAGATATTGTGGTTGGGTATTAGGATTATTTTTAACTGTATACTATACAGATAATATTGAATTAGCCTTTTATAGTGTAAATTATAATATTTGTCGAAATGTTAATTATGGATTCGAACCTTACATGCTAATGGTGCTTCATTTTTTTATTTGCATTTACAAAGAAAATACACGCAAAAAGCTTCATCGCGCAGTAAAAAACACAACAAATATATGTATAACTAATACGAAAAGTTATACCCAAAACAAACAAATATTACTACCTATAAATAACCTAATAAGTAATAATATTATAATATTATCGACTGATAAGATGACATGACATGAGCGTGTGCGCTGGCAGACGCTCTAACGACACGGGTTCCACATGTAAGAGCTCAGCGCTCACTGACTCCAGCAAGCCCGTGGGCAGTGAATACGCCCAGATTTTAAAATAATTTCTTAATAAAATCAAATTTTGGTCTTTAGAAAAAATTTTGTAATAGAAATGTTCATTAATAAATTGCCTATCCATTGGTGTAAATCGCAAAGTAAATTAATACTTACTTTACGAGGAAATGCATGTTATCAATAATAATTTCACATTTATGTGGTTTCGTTGTAAGGAGATTATATTAATATTTATTACTTTACTGCCGTGTAGTGGCGGTCAAGAATATCCACTACCCCATATCCTTCCGTGGGTGTCGTAAAAGGCGACAAAGGGAAACAGGCAGGAGATGGGCAGCAGCATCTTCCGGATAATAGCCAAAATTACAATAAAAAAACTGCGGTTGCCAACCCGCTCGCCAAGCGTGGCAACTATGGCAAATACCCCCCAATGGTTAAAGCAGCAAACAGACGGCCCTCAATCCCCGGCGGCCCCGCTATTCCTGGCTACGGTGGCGACCATGGTAACGGCGGGGCAGGGGGTGCTAAGAATCTCCGGTGGAGGTTCGGTTGCCACCTTAGACGACTCGACCTGGCAACGTACAACGCACGCACACTGAGGACTTACGAGAAGATCGTGGAGCTGGAAGAAGAGATAGACAAGTTGCGCTGGCATATTATAGGATTATCCGAAGTCCGAAGAGAGGGGGAGGACACGGTAATCCTTGAATCCGGCAACTTGCTCTATCACCGGGAGGGCGAACATCTGTCCCAAGGAGGTGTCGGATTTATCGTCCACAAGTCTCTCGTTAACAACGTTGTAAAGATCGGGAGTGTGTCGACGAGGGTTGCGTACCTTATACTCAGAATCACCAAACGGTATTCGCTGAAGGTCATACAGGTTTACGCACCAACCTCGGCACACCCCGATGAGGAGGTGGAGGAAATGTATGAGGATATCTCTAGAGCCATGCATTCCTCCAAAACCCAATATACGGTGTTAATGGGAGACTTCAATGCAAAACTAGGCACAAGAGAGAACGGTGAGCTGAAAGTAGGGAAATTTGGAATAGGGCAACGGAACCCAAGGGGCCAGCAGCTGGCCGACTTCATGGAGAAAGAGGGACTCTTTATGATGAACTCTTTCTTCCAGAAGCGGCTCGACAGGAAGTGGACCTGGTTGAGCCCCGACGGTTCGACAAAAAATGAGATTGACTTCATTATGACGACCAGACGACAACTGTTCAGTGATGTCTCCGTGATCGCGAGGGTGAAAACTGGTAGCGATCACCGAATGGTTAGAGGCACACTGAACCTAAACGTTAAGTTGGAGAGGTCTCGTCTAATGAAGTCAACGCTCCGTCCCCCTCGTGCTCTGTTCCAAAGTCCCGAAACCTTTCGGCTCGAGTTACAAAACCGTTTTCAGTGCCTAGAAGACTGCAATGAAGTGGATGATATAAATGACAAACTCGTGGAAACTGTCCATGCGGTCGGAGCTAAGTTCTGCAAGACCCGCCGCAGAAGAACACAAAAACTCTCCGATCACACTCTAAATCTCATGGCTGTTAGACGAGATATGAAGCTACATTCTTCAACAGACTTGACAGCATACAGGCATCTGAACAGACAGATCTCCAAATGCATGCGGCGGGACTTACGCAACTTCAATACAGCTCGTATTGAAGAAGCGATCGAGCGGAACCGACGCTCTAAAGTCTTTGCCAGAGATCTGTCTGCCAGAAAGAGCCAACTGTCAAAGCTGAAGACGGAATGTGGCAGCATCGTTTCCGGGACACCTGAGATTTTGAGTGAGATTGAGAGGTTCTATGGGCAGCTGTACACGTCATCGTTGGAGCCACACGCAAGTGTGAGTAACGATCCAAGAGCGAGTCTCATCCGACTCTATTCCGAAGATATCCCGGACGTCAGTCTAAGCGAGATTAGAATGGCTCTCCAGCACCTTAAAAACGGCAAGTCCCCGGGCGAGGATGGAATTACAGCGGAGCTTCTGAAAGCGGGTGGAAGACCGGTACTTGAAGTCCTTCAGAAGCTCTTTAATTCCGTCCTCCATGGTGGCATTACACCAGAGGCGTAGAGCAGAATTGCGGTGGTCTTGTTTTTCAAGAAAGGTGACACTGCTCTCTTGAAGAACTACAGACCGATTTCCCTTCTGAGCCGCGTCTACGTGCTGTCTTTGAGAGTCATTACGAATCGTCTCGCTCGCAGATTTGACGACTTCCAGCCTCCCAAACAAGCCGGTTTCCGAAAGGGCTTTAGTACCATAGACCACATACATACCCTCCGGCAAATTGTACAGAAGTCCGAAGATTACAATTTGCCACTATGTCTGGCGTATGTGGACTATGAGAAAGCCTTTGATTCCGTCGAAATTCGGGCTGTGCTGCAGTCCCTTCAGCGGTGCCAAGTTGACTGTCGGTATATCGAAGTGTTAAAGTGCTTGTACAGTAGAGCTACGATGGCTATCCGAGTACAGAAGCAGAGTACGAAACCTATCCAATTGCAGAGAGGTGTAAGACAGGGTGACGTCATATCCCCGAAACTCTTCACCGCTCCATTGTAAGACATTTTCAAGCTTCTGGACTGGAAAGGATACGGTATCAACATCAATGGCGAGTACATCACTCACCTTCGATTTGCCGACGATATAGTCCTTATGGCAGAATCGCTGGAGGACCTAAGCACTATGCTCAATGACCTCAATAGTGTTTCCCAACGGATAGGTCTTAAGATGAACATGGACAAAACAAAGATCATGTTTAATGTCCATGTCACATCTATGCCGGTAGTTGTTGGGAGCACTAAGCTCGAAGTTGTTGACGAGTATGTTTACCTGGGAAAAATAGTCCGACTAGGTAAGTCCAACTTCGACCGAGAGGTCAATCGACGGATTCAACTCGGCTGGGCAGCGTTCGGGAAGCTACGACACATCTTCTCGTCAGACATACCTCAAAAACTTAAAACGAAATTGTACAACCAGTGCGTGTTGCCAGTGATGACTTACGGAACTGAGACGTGGTCCTTCACTGCTGGCCGTATGAGGAAGCTCAAGGTCGCTCAGCGAGCTATGGAGAGGGCTATGCTCGGAGTTTCTCTGAGTGATAAACTTAGGAATGAGGATTTCCGCAGTAGAACCAGAGTAACCGACATAGCCCAACGGATTAGTAAGCTGAAGTGGCAGTGGGCCGGTCATATAGCTCGAAGAACCGACAACCGATGGGGAAGAAGGGTTCTCGAGTGGCAGCCTCGTACCGGTAGGCGAAGTGTAGGGCGTCCCCCCACGAGATGGAGTGACGACCTGATAAGACATGCAGGAAGTCGATGGATGCAGGTGGCTCAGGACCGTGCTTTGTGGCATTCTTTGGGGGAGGCCTATGTTCAGCAGTGGACTTGTGAAGGGCTGTAATGATGATGATAATGATTATTACTTTAAAAAAAATTGGATATAGCTTTTATGGAAACAAGATTATGTAGAAATATAATATGATTTTTAATTGTTGATATATCTTTTAAATAAAAAGTAGATAGCTCTTAAAAACCGCACAAATAACGACTAGCGCGACATTTTGCTCTACCTGCGCCTTAAAACGATATACCTTGAGAATCAATTTTAAACGATATAGATACATTATCCATTATAAACTCTAAATAATCGATGTCTCGAGAATCGGTTTTTAAAGCAACCAATTTTTTTCCCCATTTTTCCACAAAGTATTTTTATAGTATTGTCACGAGTTTTTAGTAGGATTTGGTAGATTTTTCTACTTTATTTAGCATATTTGTCAATTTTTTTAATAACTTGCTTTACGCGTCTGGGATCTAGCCCTTCTGAGCCTGAAGTTACAATATATTATAATTATCCTTCATAGTATAATGCTTCACAATATGTTGATGCGTCACATTGTGCAACCCTTGGGAGATTTTGACGGCAACTTGAGCCAGCAAACAGCTGACGGTTGGCGATGGTATCTCAAGGTGCCTAAGCAGACAGACACCTTATTTAGAGAATCACATCACCATCAGACACTTGTTTCACAGTTTCCACTAATAGTTTACATGCGCAGACACTTAATACACAAAATCGCACCACTTTTACATATCAAAGTCCGCTTCAAACCATTATTTAAACAGTAATACAGGAGCAACAAACCGCCGTCGGTCAAGTTCCCGCCAAAACTCTCCACATTTGTTAAATAAAATTTGGTCCTTCGAGCATAGAAAATAGAGGAGATGGCAAGCCTATAAAAATCGTGTCAAATTGAAACAATAAATGGCGGACGTTGTAAGCTCCGCCCATTTTTAGTGATGTGAAGTCAATCAAATTTTAAAATTTAGTAACACCTATATGTATTTTTATTTATTTATTTAACGTTTAGTTTAGTTTACGTAACAGTTTTAACGTTTAAATAATAGTTACAAGACGATTTTCATACTATATGCACGGATAGCAACTCGTGCTTGCAATAATAATTAGTTTTTGATACAATAAATATTAGTTTTTGATTCAATTATAGTTTTCTTTACACATATCTTATCCTTATTAAAAAGTAACCATTTAGGTTTATAAAGCAGTTTTTGAATAAACTTATATTATACTGGGTCCGGTGGACCCAGTAGCGAGTATTTTTGCTACAAATTAGGACATGAGTCCCTAAGTGAATTGTCATGCACTGGGTCAATGCCTTATTTTGTTAAGAGTAATTGCAAGTTAACAATCTTCATTTCCAAATTTTGCAAAAAGTTTAAATGAATTCCATAAAAACAATGTATTAATCACGAGCAACATTATTTTGTGGAACCTCTTAAATTGAATATAGCAAGAATTTCATAAATGTTTATAAAAATATTTTTTAATATTTAACAGTTTCCCTGTCCACAAAACAAGTACAATAGTTAAACAATTTAAATGTTCATATCTGATTCATGGGGCAGGGAAAGAAATAATAAAAAATATATGTAGTTTTTTGATAAATATAAAGTAACTATCTATATTTTGAAAACTAAGTAATATTATGTATGTCAAAATATGCATAACCAGTAATTAGTAAGATTTGACACATGACGAATTGACAATACTAGTGAAGTGACTGAACCAGTAACCCTAATATCATTTGGGAACAGTTTGTTTTTAAATATTCTAGTATAGTGTGTAATTAAATAAAATCAAAACAATAATAGTTAAAGACACAGGTTCTTTATTAGGTGGAGTATCCTTGATGGGCGTAGATAATTGGTCGAGGACATATCAAAATAAAACAAATTTGTAAACACGGTTACACATTTTAATGAATAGAGTAGGTACAAGATGTTTTAATAAATGACTACCTATCATTTATTAAAACAATTATTCAGACTCTGAACCAGATTCGCCAGAGCTGTCATCGCTATCAGTCACTTGTATGACAATTTCATTCTCTATAATGGTGTCCACTCTTATATCGCATTCATAATCTTCTGTTATTAGTTTTCGAGTCTTTTCGACGACCTCGACCCAATCTTCTTTCGTTATTTTGCTGCAAGCATCTTTTAATAGACCCATCATTTTATTAGTACAGAATGGCGGAGTCGTATTATTACGAGCTGCGTAACCTGTAATGTAAACATTAAATAACGTTAATTTATTACATTAAATAAACGAAATGTTACACAATTACCTACATGTAAGGGACATGAGATATTTATTTCTTAGTTATGTATCTTTTTACTTATATGCTGAATATTGGATGTTATAATAGTACAAATTATTCATATTCATAACTTATGCGATAAAAAGCAATACCTTTGATTTGTGCCCATATTAGCTCAATGGCATTGTACTGGCAGTGATAAGGCGGAATTCAAAGTACCCGATGTCCATGTGCTAGAGCTATCTCATCTACTTCATAACGGACTCTTGATGTTTTATTTTCGCGTACCAACTTTACTAAGTCAGACTTTAGCATTTCGGCAGTAGTTTCAATTCCATTTTGGTGTAGTCATGCTACGAGATCAGCTTTCTTGTCGGCCTGAGTAGGCGCTTTATTCACTTGTTTCGAGTGATATGAAGCGTTGTCCATTATTATGATAGAAGGCTCTGGCAGGCTGGGTAATAATTGATTTTCGAACCAATTCGTAAAAGTGTCTGTATCCATCTCGTCGTGGTAATCGGAAGTACTTTTTGACGCGAAAGCCAGCAGTCCATTTTCAAAGAAACCACTTCCAGCAGAACCGGCGTGACAAATTATCAGTCGCGATCCTTTTCTAATTGGAACCTTTGAGGTTGATGCTTGTTTTTCGTCAGTCCAAGAGCGTGACAGTGTGGTTCGCATTTAACCATGTTTCGTCAACAAAAACGACGTTATCCCAAGACTCGATTTTTCTGGCTTCTCTTAAAAACTCGCTCCTTTTAGTTATTACATCAAATCTTTCCATTAATATTTTCCTTTTATTCGTTTTTTTATATTCAAACCCAATTTCGTGCAATAGTTTTGACAACGCCGTTTTACCGCCTTTAAACAAGCCAGCTTCTTTTAAAGAGACCAAAAGCAAACGTCTAGTTGGAAACTCGTTCCTAGTATAATAACCATATATGTGCTTTCTTATTGCATCTGCATCAAAAACATCAACACCTGTCACGGGCTTTTGTCTTCGTTTTTTCTTAGGAGTGCGTAAAACATTATCTTCACTTCCAGAAGCACCAAATTTTTCTTTATTTATATTATATAGTGTTTTTGCACCAATTCCAAGAGCTTGTGAAACCCGATATTTCACTTGAGTGACAGGAATGAAAGGGCCGCCATTTTGTGACTCACGCTCAAAGTAATCCTGTAGCTTTAGTACAAGCTCACGACATTGACTATTCAATGTTTTTCCTCGTTTCGGCATTTTCAACAAAATTACCAAACACAAACAAAATTAGTCCAATAAAGCGCAACGATAAACAGGAGAAAGCCGAGTCAAAAAACAACGGTTACACAAGAGAACGTAGTCTGTGCTCACGAGAGTACGGAAGACGACTAAACAGATTAAAATAGCGGTGGTAAGGGTGTTGCCAGAATAGTATCGCCAATTACTTAAAAAAATACACCTATAACATTGCTTAATTGAGGGAGAAAATTATATTTATTAAATGTTGTTTTATATATTATGAATGTTAAAAATTATACATAATCATTTTAATTGTATTTATTTTTAAATCATAGAAAACAGTATTTCTGTCTTTGGATCACACATAAATCTTAAAAATCATAGAGATACTGGCAACACAGTGCAATTAGGAGACGCAAAAAAATGGTAGCATTATAGTCTAGTTGCTCGAAGGAATAAGTAAAATATAAATATCCAAATAAAATAAATATCATATCTATTCCAATGAATTCGGACCGAATACTATCAAGCACTTCACTATGAAAACTAGACTCACGATGTAACTTTGTACAAGCGCGCCAAAGAACAAAAAATAAATGTTTTCATATTATTTACAAACTATTTTAAGTTTTGAAACAGAGTTTATTGGAAAATTACTTGATTCTGACATTTTGACATAAAGTTTTATATTAAAGAGGTATTCTAAATCATTCGGCAAATGTGTCGCTCGTGCAAGGTTATATCGATTAATTTAAGAATAATCTGTCAAATCGGTAATAACTCAGCGGCTGTACTATATGAGGTCAATCGGTCAAGTAAATCAGAAGTTACCATTGATTATACTGAGTGATTGTTTACCATGAAGAATTTAATAGGTGAACGAAATAGAAGCCTAATGCGTAGTTATTTTCCATTTTTGAACGAAGTGTGAAATATGGGTAAATCAGGAATGTCTAGAACAGGTAAATGAAATTGTATACTTGGGGAGTGCTTTTAGCCGGGATGGAAGATGTGATTTAGATGTGGACAGGCGTGTCGCTGCCGGGAACAAAGTCAATGGTGCCCTGACTGCGTTAGTCAAAAGGCAAGGCGTAGCGAAGAGTTCACGCCTTGCAATACATAACGCAGTGTTGGTACCGACTTTGTTATATGGCAGCGAAACCTGGGTATGCCAGAAGAAGCATAAAAGTAAGTTGAATGCAGTGGAGATGCGATCTCTTCGTAAAATGTGCGGCGTTACTATGGCCGACCGAAAGCGAAACGAAGAGATTCGCAATATGGCAGGTTTGAAAGATGACATTATCACAAAAATTGATAAGGGCGTGCTTCGGTGGTTTGGGCACGTTGAGCGAATGAGTGAAGACCGAATGGTGAAGAAAATATATAGCGCGAAAGTTAATATTAAAAGGTGTCGAGGTAGACCGAGACTAACTTTCGAAGACCATGTGAGCAAATTGCTCGAAGAGGGTAGGGTCAAGAGTACTCGGATACCTAGACGTGCATGTATGAAGAAGATAATGAATCTGAAAGAAGCGAAAGAGATATGTAAGGATCGTGACACTTGGCGATCTGTTCTCTCTGGCTACCCCGTCAGGGATTGTGCGTGAAGATAAGTAAAGTAAAGTAAAGTTTTAAAATGAACTATGATTGGAAAATAAAAAACCTAACAAAAATACTAAACTAAATTCAAATCATGAGCAACCTACATTATGTGTGGCTAGTATTGAGAAGAGTCTATTCAATATTCTTTATTGCACACCATTCATAACGCACAGAGAAAAGACTCGTTCATAAATTTACTAATGTGTAGTGGCATATTCAACTGCAGTACCACCAGTGGCATATTCAACCCGGGACCACATTACAAGCAGCTCTGCAGTCGTGCTTTATGATTACTAGACCATTGAGGCCGTAAATTGTTAGTAGTGTATGGCATTACCATTACAGCATATTAAAAGTCCACTGCTGAACTACTAACAGGGAAAATAGGCCTAGCCCATAGATTGCGGTTTACACGGGTAGTAGATATTCTTTTACTATATCTATCTATCAATATTAATATTCTACACTATCAATCATAATCATATATATTATTATATATACATAAATAAAACAGGGTGACGTATTTTCCCGAAATTCTTCACCGCTTCATTGCAAGATGTTTTGAAGCTACTGTACTGGAAAGGATACGGTATTAACGTCAATGGCGAGTACATCACTCACCTTCGATTTGCCGACGATATAATCCTTATGGCAGAATCGCTGGAGGACCTAAGCACTATGCTCAATGATCTCAATAGTGTCTCCCAACGAATAGGTCTTAAGATGAACATTGACAAAACAAAGATCATGTTTAATGTCCATGTCACACTTAAGCCGGTTGTTGTTGGAAGCACTAAGCTAAAAGTTGTTGATGAATATGTTGACCTGGGTCAAGTAGTCCGATTAGGTAAGTCCAACTTCGACAGAGAGTTCAATCGACGGATTCAACTCAGCTCGGCAGCATTCGGGAGATAATGACACATCTTCTCGTCAGTCATACCTCAAAACCTCAAAAGTAGACCAGTGCGTGTTGCCAATGATAACCTATGGATCTGAGATGTGGTCCTTCACTGCTGGCCGTATGAGGAAGGTCAAAGTTACTCAGCGAACTATGCTGAGGGATACGATAGGATAGATACGATAGACTTCAAAACGAGGATATCCATAGTAGAACCAGAGTAACTGACATAGCCCAAAGAATTAGTATGCTGAAGTGGGAATGGGCCAGCCATATAGCTCGAAGAACCGACAACCAATGGGGAAGAAAGGTTCTCGAGTGGCAGCTTCGCACCGAAGGGCGACTAGATATAGTAACGACCTGGTAAAATATGCAGGAAGTCAATGGACGAAGGTGGCTCGGAACCGTGCTTTGTGGCATTCATTGGGGGAAACGTGGGCCACGTTCAGCAGTAGATTTGTGAAGAAGGGCTGTAATGATGATGATGAAGATTAAAAAAAAGAGAAAAATCGAAATCTTTTTTGTTACGGTGGACTATATTCTATTTTTTTTTCTTTTTTTTAGATTCTTTACTTAAAAATATAGAATTAGAATTATAAAACAATAATACAAATTCAATTGTTTTTCCATATAAAAAGAAATTCAATCCAAGCTTATGCTTATTCAGAAATCTTATTTAGTCAGTTTTAACGGATTTAAAATATTTTTTCGAGGAAAGTTAGGATTGAAAAAATGCCAAGAGGATTACCAGAAGTTTTATGGGCAATAATTGTAACTTTGAGAGACAAAGGATATTCCACGAGAGAAGAATATAGCACGCAGAGTTGTATTCTGTGTCGTGGCCACGTTGCAGAGATACCACGGCATGGAGAATTTAGCTAACCGACAGTGGTCCCCAACTGTTTCGATTTCTGCTAAGAAGCGCTATACCAAATTGCTGGCAGCCCGTGACCCAACAATCAACGCCGCTTACAATAAAAGCAGAAATGCGGGTCACCTCTGAACTTCAAGTTAGCACTCGGACCATTTGGAATTGCTTACACCAGGCTGGACTACGAGCAAGGAGGTCTTGGCGAGCACCTCTGAATTCACGGCAACGTCGGCGACGGAGATTGCAGTGGGCTAGGCTCTGGCAAAATGAAGAAGATGAGGAGAAAAACATTCTCAAAAAAATCGGCAAAACTGTCTCTTTGTTGACGAATCGCTAATCAGTGCTCATCCAGATAACCGACGTGTCGGTGTCTGGAGAAGACCTGGAGACTGAAAGGCAAAGAACTATCACTGGAACCGTTCAGCAAGACGGGAAATCGGTGTCCTTTTGGGGTGGAATTATGATTGGAGCTGAACGCCTTTGATCCCATATCGAGGCTCCATGAAGGCATATAGATAAAAAACAGTTGCTATTGATGGAATTGTCAGCCCATTCCGAGTAAACCATGGGCACCAATTCGTACTGGACGATGATAATGCGCCCGCACATCGAGCTCAACGAGTTAATACTGTTCTCCGAGAATACGACATCACAAGATTAGACTGGTCTACCGGCAGGCCTCCGTCACTCGCTCAAGTGCAATAACGCAGTGCTTATATGCCTACCGTTCTGTGTATCGCCCACGATACAATCGACACTGGGCTGCCGCACGCCGCCTGAACGCTTGCACCGCGTACGTTTCCCGCGATTACTCGTCGAAATGCCGAAACCACGTAATTATTGTGCAGTGGATGGGTGTCAGAGTCAAAAAAGCATTATTAAATAATTTTGACAACGCATTATGGCATTCAAATCTGCCTGGCAGCAGCGTGTCACAAATTTTACAAACCATTGATTTTCCTCCGCTTTGCTCCTGTTTTCTTCATGATTATTTATTAAAATTATTTACGTGATTTAGGATATTTTCAACGATAAGATTTAATAACCGAGAATTCAGAGAAGGAAAATAATATATAAATCATTTTATAAAACTCAAACATATTTGATAAACAAATAAAAAAAAACAGTTAATTCGCAAGATTCGTTTTATTACAATAATCATCATAGGTATACAACCCTAGCGCATTCGTGCGGATGACGCGCTTGCACGTGAGTCGTGTGGCGGTCAACACAATCTCGATTCTTTATGCGCGTACTTATGGTACATTTTCTTCTCGCTGCGAACAGCAGATATTATTATTAAGATTTTGTAGGCTATTATAGCGTAGGTATTTTCGCTTTTGTATGGGAGTGATGACGCCTGACTTAAACCCAATAGAGCACATAGAGTATGGGGATTCTCTTAAGCGAGCTGTTTGGAACCGTCAGCCACCTCCCCAGACAGTGCCAGATGTCAGGGAAGCCGCTATTCAAGAATGGGGCAGGTTACCGCAAGAAATGATAGATAACTTGATCTTCAGCATGCCCAGAAGAATATCCGCATGTATTCGAACCAGGGGAGGAGTTATATTATATTAAATAAAAACTTATTAATAAATTGTTGTATAAGTTTGGTTAAACAATCTTTTTCTTTCCATCAAATTTCTG